ATATTATTCAGGTGTCACATCCAGTCTGCCTGATGACAAACTACCTTTCGGAGTAGGATCGTGAAGATGGATAAACAAAAATAGCATTTGCCAAACAAGTCTGATGAGACATAAATAGGTGAGCATAAGAAAGTACACGGCCATGTTTCATGGTGATTAATTTGTGTGTGCACGTGTCTGTGCTTGTGTATGCTAGTGTGCATACTGTTTCTTATTTCAGGCCCTATAGGTGGCAGAGTCCTTTACATTCTGGTCTTTTAAAACTCAATTATATGTTTTGTTGTTTACATCCCAATGTAATTGCAAATACATACTTTGTATAAGCCATGCTGAGATGTACAGCGTGTAATACGTGGCGGATAATTGCATCGACAGTTGAGCGTTGTTAGATGGATAACCATTAATTCGGACATATATAATCTGTACAATCTGATAGAAAACAATATTCCATGCATTGTAACGAGCTGGGTTTAAAAATAACTTGAGGTGAGGTGAGGTGAAATTGGGTTTAACGTCGTGCTTGAGAATATTTCGCTCATATGACGACGTGCATGCGTGTGTATGTGTATGTGCGGCTGCTTGTACTAGCCCAGACTGAAGCTGGTTTTATAGTGCTATCCCACTGAGATACCATGCCGCAGTGAAGCATGAATACCCCACTCAGACACATTATACTGACTCCGAGCCGACCAGTCCTTGTTGTACCCATTAATGCCGAGCGCCAGGCAGGGACCAACAAGTACCATATTTTAACGTCTTTTGGTATGACGCGGTCGGGGATCGAACCCGCGACCTTCCGCTCTCCGGGCGGACGCTCTAACCACTACACCACGAAAATAACTTGAACACAAAACCATGAATGTTATTATTCCAATATATCTTGACTTGTCAAATAAATGAATACTAACTTTAAGAAACATCTTCACTGAAACTGTAAAACATTCCAATTACCCAAATGTCCTGTTTTCAATGTTTTCAATTAGTCACGAAGTGTTCTTACAGTATGTTAATAGTACGTATATCACCCCATTTTCAGAGACAATATTCTTTTAGTGAGCATATTTCTGAGTTTCATATATATTGTGTAATTATACTGCAGACATCGAGGTGTATGTTCTATATGCATATCTGAATGGCGTAATATGTACGTCATGTTTATTGGATACATCTCCTACAATTCAACTGGTTTACATCCTGCAGGAACTTGTTCAGTATGTCCTTCAGCAACTCATCTTTGTCACAACAGGTCACTGTTGAGATCGGGTGGTCACAGTCGCTCACTTAGTTGATCATTTTATCACAATTGCTTCTCCAGATGAAGATGATCGGTCCAGACTTAATAAGTTACATACATAACATCACAATTTCGTGGATAGATGAAGATGATGATTATTTTTCCAGACTTGATAACTTACATACCGTTGGCATGTATTTGGCATGTTGCACATTGATGCGTTATGTTACTGGTTCCACTTGTCACCACTGTTTATCTTATTTCACCTGTTTAATGCAGTCTTCACAATCTGAGAGATTGAGAGACTATATTCCACATATTCGTACAAGCTGGATTTTTTTATATTATTCCAATAGCTCTCAACATGTCAAACAAATGAACTACGAATAGTTCCCCTAACTTTAAGAAACATCTTTATTGAAACTGTAAAATCTTCTCATTAGCCAACTGTCTGTTTTCAATGTCTTCAATCAGTCACGAGGTGTTGTTACTGTATGGTAATAGTATCTAAGTACATTTATCACCTCAGTCGCAGAGACAGTATTCGTTTTATGAGCATCCTTCTGAGTTTCATATTCAGTGTGTAATTATATTGCTTATACAATGTGGTGTATTTTTTATATAAATATCGGACTAGCGCAATATAGACGTAATGTTTATTGGGTACATCTGCTACAATACAACTCGTTTATATCCAGCAAGACCTCCTGAAGAATGTTCTTCAGGAACCCCTGTTTGTCGCAAGAGGTGCTGAGCGTAAGTGGGGGGTCAGAGTCGTTCTCTTGGTTGATCATACATGTATTGTCACAATAGCTTCTACAGATGAAGATGATCGGTCCAGACTTAATAAATTACATAAATAACTCAGATTCGCTCACTTGGTTGGCGCATGTCATGTTAGCACATTGCTTTGACAGATGAAAATGATGGTTATTGACTTGATAACTTACAGACCGTTGACATGTATCTGGCATGCTTTAGCGTGTTATATTACTAGCTTAACGTGTTAGTACTGTTTATCTTATTTCATATGTTGAATGCCAACAGTAGGCTTTCACTATTCCGCTGTAATCACATCCACATCCATCTATATAACACTCCACCTAATACTTGTGCACATGCCACTCACCCATGCTCTGTACTTCACTTCTTGATAACTCGAAACGTCGCTCTTTATTGCAATAAAGAACTGTTCATTTCTTTTTCTTATCCTTAGATAAGGCGAATGACCCGTGAAGATCCAGAGGTACGGAAATGACTACAAAGCAAACAGTTATCCAGTTCCCTATTATTGTAACTTTCTAACACATTGTTCTACACAGAGAGTAGGTCTAGGAGATAGCTGTAGTATTCTAATTTTGTAACGATCTGCCATACCCTTCCATACAGAAGGTACGTCCAGAAGACACTTATGCAGTTCCCTACCAGCTTCAACTGGCCTCCCAGTGATTCATCTTTGTCAGCACTTGATAACTTATAGACAGGGCACGATAATTAATAACACAGCAGACAGTTATCCAGTCCCCCCATTATTGTAACTTTCCAACACATTGTTCTACACCGAGAATAGGTCTAGAGTTTTGTAATGTTGTAGCATATTCTTCTTTAACGAGAGTACGTCCATGCGACAGTTATGCAGTTTCCTACGAGCTTCCCTTGGCTTCCCAGTGACTCATTCGTTTCATTGACATAACTAAAGCAATAAAAACACCTAGATGAGACACAATGTTATTAGGCGGATTTGAGACATTTCCAATGATTCGAATAATGAGACGAGTTTCACTTCCGTAATTGACATTTGCCACATAAGTAAATCAATATGTCATGCAGATCTGGTTCGGCCAATGCTAAACCTGAACCACTTGCTAACGAATAAGACACCCTGTCTATCATGAAAAGGGAGGCAACTGGTTTGATGTTAGTACGACAGAAGACTTCACAGACAAGCGTTTTAAAATTCAAACTAGCTTAAGAGGTTTGGCAGGGTTGTGGGTAATCTGATTTGTATCATGGCACTTGAACGCTAATATGCTTGATAGCCCGCTCCATTTCTAATTGATTTCATTTTCTGCTTTTAAAACAGTGTCGGGACGAGCGCCAGTGGACGACATTGATATATTCGGTTACCCTCTTGAAGAATGCCAAGGATGGTTAGAAAGTGGCTTAGGCGTTTCGAGACAATTTGAACACGATACCTAATTAGATTTCGTTAAATACCCCACCACAGGAATTTTCTCATCTTAAAGGTAGATCTTCAACGTCAAATCAATTACAGTTTGAAGAATACTTAGCTATCAATCTAAAATAGCATCAGTCAGGTAGATGGAAGTAGCTGCTTGTAATAAGGAAACGGTTTCTAATCGCATCAACCTATTGGGAGGTTGTGATGAGAAATTAAGGACATCAGGACGATGTATGTAACATATAATTAAGTCTAAAAACCATCTCTCTATGGAAGAAGAATTTATGCCAGATAACGGTGGTTTTATAAACCAATTGTGTTTTGTTTGCAGTTGTGCATACTTATTGTACATTATCAGTAAAGTAACACGGGAAACTGAACAATAATACGTTCATGTATGAAACAAAGCTACGATTTAGTGAGAAGTATGTTCATGATGTCTATCTCTGGATCCTTTGGTCCAGATGAGACTGTGGTACAATAGCGCAATATTTTCCAATGTCAACGTTACACCATAAAAATTAAATTCATGTTTGTGCATGTCTAAGAAAAGTGACGAAAACTGAACTGACACAAATGCCACTGAAAATAAACAAAACAGCTGTAAAATGCGGCAATCGATTTCGATGAAGTCCGCGTAAGGATTTCTGTGCATGGATTACAGCCCTTGACACGCTTCTAGCTTACGCATTTAACACGAAGTACTTGAACAGTTTAACATGTACTCACAAACGTAAGTGGACTTAAGTACAGTTAGTGTTGGGTTAGTTATTTTGAACTTGGCGTTCATTATAAGTCTCAGTCACTGACTTGCGAGATTGAAATTAAACTATACTTTAGAACATGTATCCTTCTGGTACTGAAATCGGGTAAATAGCAGAAATTCCCATATATTCATATGCTCAAAGAAACAGACCAGCAAGAATATGATTGCAGTAGGTGTCCGTGGAGATGAAGTTGAAATTGAATTGAAATTAAACTTTACTTTAGAACATGTATCCTTCTCGTAACTGAAATCGGGGAAATAGCAGAAATTCCCATATATTCATATGCTTAAAGAAACAGACCAGCAAGAATATGATTGTAGGTGTCCTTGGAGATGAATGCTTCTTGCCTTAGAGTCTCCCACAATTTACATTCCTGTTATTAGTCAGGACGTCCAGCATTCCACACATCTGGGGTTTTCCAGTAAACTACAAATTTCATTTGTTTCCATTTCTGGCAAATTGTCAAGTGCTGATTCCTTAGTTAAAACTAAAACATAAACGGGAGTCAGTCTGTAAAAGAACCATGTTTGAAAACAACAAGCATGTGTTGTAATTAACAACGGTGCTCTGAAATGAACCAGGTTCACAAATCAATACAAAGGCGTCACTATCTCAGAACAAAATAGTGGCAGTACCAATCCAAAGGTAATGTAATACAAAGGCATCGATTATAGCAATAAAGACAGGGATGGCAATATTCACCTCTCAACAACAGTAATCCGACTTGGAAGAAAGGCTTATGCAATGGTCCCACGCAATGATCATCGCGAACAATGCTGGACATTTTGTCACTTGAGATGCAATTTGAGATGAGAAGCAATAAGTAGAATAACATTATAAAACATTTATATGTATACTTTTCGAAATTGAATAAACGTTCGCCTATTGTATGTATGACATACATGAATGTATGTTACAGTGAAAGGAATTAATGTCCACTATATCCTAGGAAAACAACAACATTTTTCACCTTTTTGACGTGTGAGCAAAATGGAAAAACACTTTATACATGTTGAGAATACTGGAGTTTCTTTCCCGAGAAAAATATTTTTTAAGAATAATATCATAAACAATCATCTATAAAATACTTTTCGAAAGTGAATGAATGATTGCCTTTGGTATGAATGACATACATGAATGTATATTGCAGTGAAGGAATATAATGTCCACTTGATCATTCACAAAAAGAAAACATTTTTTAAAATTTCATTTGAATGTTCCAATTGCAAATGAAGCTTTTCAATACGCAGGCATAAGCATGTGTGTTCCTATAATCACTCTATAATCAATCGTTTAGTGGGAGCAGGAAATATTTTCGACCAACACGCGTCTGGTCTCATTCGCCTGTGACAGTTTTCAGAGGAGGATATGCTTCCATGTGTAAAGTGATGTTCCGCCACAAATGTTCTTGCAATCACATGGGATGGTACGTTTCACAAGTCATAAAGAAGACCCGTAAGAGTGGTCTACAACGAAACTGGTTCATGATATTTGGAAACACTCATGAATGAGTTTTGTAAGTCATCACAGACATCTGCTAAATCTTTTAAATGTTCATTAAAGACCTCCTTATCTTCATGAGGCATGGATGGCTTGAATATTTGAATTTGTTAACGAATTATCTTTTTTTCATAGAAGAAACTCATTTATAATTTCTTCTGGGTGATCACTGGAAACTACTTGTATATATATTTCTGGAGTATTTGTTTCCTAAAAAAAGTGAAAGTGAAAAAAATAATAGGTCCACAGAAGTAAGAATATCGCGTTAGGTTTTTGTAAGTGGTGGTTTGGGATTTGTAAAATATATCATGGATACCGAATTATATCCTTGGTTTTGTCATGAAAATTATTTTTGTCCTGTATGGAAAAACGTATTTCTTAAGTGCTTCTCTGTATGTATTCGCAGCGAAATACATTTTTCACTTTCCAAAATCGGAAAACAAACGAACTGTCCTATGGTGAGACCCACCACCATGACAAACACTTCAACTATCAAATTGCAGGTAAATGTAAACCAGGACACGCTTACCATCTTTGCAAACACCTGGTGTCTTCAGTAACTGTCGGCTCTCCATTCGTGCAGTTTTCCAGTTCATTCGCTTCTGCAAACAACAGAAAAAGTTTCAGCAGATGCTTGACATTGATTATTATCTGGCTTTGCATTTGTCATTTGACTTCTGTCTATATGAATACGTAGTCCCTGATTTTCGTGAGTTATACAACAGTGAGTCGTATATACTGTAGCGCTAGAATTTAAGTGCACCTTCCAGAATACGGCAGTACGGCACACTTGAATGCCCGGGATGGATTGATGGATAACGCATGCAACCCTTAACAGACAAATTTAACAATCTCAGTTCCACAGGACAGAATGCCTCAATGTTCTGAATATTCTCTAACGTGTTCCTTGTTAAGGAATTCCCGTATTTGACCGGTGTGATTGATTGAGTATCCTGTACTGTGTATAGATGCCTGTAATATCCCGGGGCGGTGGTGTCTTTCAATACAGCCCAGTGGTTAAAGCTTTATTCGGTCTCGTCACGCCGTTAAGACTAAGCGGGTTCGGAATCCCGACATGGGTCTCAGGGTGTGAAGCCCATTTCTGGTGTTCCTGATCGCCGTGATGTTGCTGGAATATTGCAAAACAATGCGGTGCTTCAAACCAAACTCAGTCATGTGGTGGCCAGTCAAGTATATTTCATTTCTATTGACAGCATGTAATAAACTTAAACATATATCCGGTGTCAATCCAGTGCTTATGAACCCTTTTTCTGATCCTGATCGTGTCGTTCAAAGGTTTGTTAACGCATAGTAACAGTAGTTAGCCTGTCTGGCGCTGGGATTAAAGCTAAAACACAAGGACTGGTTGGCTTGGAATCTGAATAAAGTGTCTGAGAGGGTTATCCATGATTAATTCGGATATGATGTTTCTGTGGACGAGCTCTAAACCTGGCGTCATTCCGGGACAGTGTCTGTTTACGTGTAACAATCATGGGCGAGACGTTTCAATACGTCTCACGTTAACTCAGCTCTTTCATTTCTTTGTTCATTCTTTGCAATTATAACCGACAAGAACCATCAACAGTGCACGCCGTTCTAGAATGCAAGATCAGAATATAGCCAATGTCTGAGTTCCCCATCGATGTATGCTAACATGTTGATTTAGTTAAGCTCATGATCCTGGAATGTGTATATATTCATTGTGGAATGAAACTAAAGTATGTCTTGGAATTACCTATAATGCATAAAGCGGCTGTTACATCAGACTTGAGCGAGTGACCATTTGCTCTTTTGATCTGAAAGACATATTTGTTGGTTGTAATCTACATAAAATCAAAATAGCTGATGTCCAGACATACTTTATTGCTTCACAAGATATACTTCCAGGATTACAAGATATACTTCCAGGATTACAAAGACATCGGTGGGTCCTATTTTGTACATCTTTAATCAGTATGGCAGCGATGTCGTCCGATGGAGACAGTATACAAATCCCCTTGGACTTTTAATAACCAGTCCTCCATGTTATGCAGAATAGAACGACTGTATCGAGAAGGGAAAGTGGGTGATTTGATGCCCGGCCCTGTTTTATCTTAAGAGATGTTACTTGTTGTTTCCTTGCCTGACCCTTGGCTTTAAAAAGGAACCGTCGTAATAAAACTGTGACCTGTTGGCGAGCCGGCCATATACTGTGTGGGGTATTCGTGTTAAACTAAGCAGGCAAGCACGATAAATCTGACATAAGCATAAGTCTGAAAAGTACAGTTATACACACACACAGACGTACACACACATTTGTTTAAGATACACCCATTAAGTTCAATAGAGCATCACCAATGTTCGCTATGTATACCAGACTTTCAGGGTCCTTTACCATTAAATAATGAGGAAGGTGACATTTCAGTACATCACTTGAATGTACTAAAATGTCTCATGGGGTTTTTAAGTTGAGTCAAACTCGAACGCTATGTTATAGACATCATTAACCTGAAAGACCTTTCAAAGTGGTATGAAACCAAATTCCTTCCTCATTCACTCCTTCAGACAAACTATGGAACTGACATTTGCATATTGTAAACACCCCTCGTTGAAATATATTTATTCCTTTCCAAAGGAAAACCTTGTTCTGAAATCAGGAAACGAATTCAATGGGATTGTTAGTTAAATGTGTCTAGAAATACGATGATTCATTGCATGAAGTTCATATCAGTAACTGAATAAGCAGAAACCCAGGGCGTCCACCTCTTGGTTTGATATTCTCTCACATGACAAGATAAACAAATACAACCATTTCAGATCAGATCTTCTGACTTAATGAGACGCAAATCTAAATTAAAGGTACATAATTTTATCAAAAGTGCGGACATTGAGCAACCTGTTATTGCTGAATGATTCACAGGCTTGATTCATTTCGTGAATACAATGCATTCAGACCATTAAAATCCATTATGACATGCTGGAGGGGTTCTAAAAGGCATACAGACAGATTCAATTTTCAATGCCATGTTGTTTGATATTATTAATTAGATCTGTTCATAAGTGTGTTATGTTTAGAAAAGTGAAATGATTCTTTGTATCGGAACTGCGATCTTTCCTTGGTCTTTTCTTTTTGTGTTGATTTCCACTGCTTAAGGACCTGATATTAATTTGTAATGGAAGAAAACTCGAGTGAAAAGCGTCAGTTGTATATTTCTTGGCAGAAGGTTGCAATATGAAGCTATGGCCGTAATGCTGGACTCTGGATTTTATATCGAAATGTAAAAGCCCATTATTTCTTGAAATGCTATTTTGCGTTCTCGCTTTAGCTACATAAGTGAAAGTGATCAGCGGAGCGAATTCTATCCGTGATTGACAAGCGTTAATGTTACATTTGCTGTTCAGGCTTGTTGTGCATCAAATATAGTACAACCTCCGTTAACCAGCACACTATTACTCCGATTAATTTTAGTAGATATAAACAAACAAACGCATTTCACGGCGATGGCTATGAAATTACCAAGAATGAATAAAAACGTCCGAGCAGAATATGATTGACTGCATTGGTGAACTTTGTAAGTAAATATCTTTCAGCATAACCCCTCCCCCCACCCCCCCCGGTTGGAATGTCTGGATCCAATTCGTGGAAAAGGTGGTGCATAAAGTGCTCCATAACAGACATATAACCTCGTCTTCTTTTTGCATTAGGAAAGTATGGAAGTCTGACGACCATTGCAAGAATGTATGTTTCCAAAACTAAGGAAGATATAGAAATCTGACTTTGAGAAACAAATTTATCTTTTACACGATATTGTAATGAAACTTCAGTGTGTCGTTATTGGTTTAACATAAATGAGTTTCACGAGACAGGGTCTCTCACGGGCGATGACTCATGGGGTGAAGAAACGTCTTAACATTTATATGAGTTCTACCCAAGATCTTTTCTTATAGGGGCGTAAATGTGGTAAATACATAGTAAATTTTAGATGGTTATTTGGTCTTTTGCCTGACCTTGGGATATCAATAAGGAGGAAATTAGCAAATTTACATAAAACTGGACATAGTGGTGGCCCTAAGAATTAAGACCCATACTTGGTTGTTTGTTTGTTGTGTAACCCGGATCTTCATGGGTTCCATACATGATTACAAGGCGCTTACCAAAATGAGAAGGGTCTCCTTAAAAACGATGTCATTTCTCACGAGAGATGATGGACATTTTGTCATGCCTTGGAATCCCTCGAATGTTCTCAACTCTCAATAATGAACCCCCACCATTAAGCTGGAATATTGCTGACTGTGGCGTTAAACAGGGTGTCAAACAAACAAAACTCTAACATGAGAGATGCCTCCAACTGGCCTGGTGATGTGTAAATAAGTCGTTGTATTTAACTCGTATCTTTCACTAACATTGTGAAATTGGGGTACTTAATAATATGCCATTTTGGATATTTAGTGTGTCTTTTGTATGACCCTGGGCTATAATTCAAGAGGAAATATAGAGCTTAATTCACCAATAGTACTATACCGTCATCTAATTAAGTGAGGAATGTGTCCTAATACTGATTGATCGAAACAGCTATTTACACTGAAAAAGTAGTAACAAAGTAATAATTTAAATTCTGCATTCTTTAAATACATTTCGGTTGGATTTCATTCAAGTAAATGTGCTTTGTGTCAGTGGGGCTTCTGGAGATCGTCTTTGAAAAATAGGTTTTGTAGCCCTTAAATGCATCACAACAGAAAACATGATTGAAATGATTTCTTATTGAACTTCTTTCGAAACTGATAGTGATTCAGGGATATTGTTACCCGTGGTCTTGCTTTAAACATATTAATATCCTTTTTAATCCTTGTAAGAATATTTTCAGGCAAGGTCGTTTTTTCACTTGTGCAATTGTGTAAAATCATGTTATCAACACTTTTGTCACATATTTTGACGATTGTTTGAACAGAATAGGTAATTATTAGATTTTAAAAACTACAAAACGCTTATGTGTTACTTTTTGGGGATAGCATAGTTATTAAAGAGCTGCTACACACGATCAACTCACTCAATTAATAATATGTTCTGAATCAATTTCCTGAACTGCCATAAAGCAGCATTCAACCAGCGTCAAGATACATTCTCCCCAATTATTGTTTGATTGTTTACCGTACTGTAAGGATGCAACAGGCTAGAAATCTACCCAGCTCTATACTTTGCCAAAAAAACGCATTTTTATGCTACTCCATAGCTTTTGTTTGATTGTTCTTCAACGTTGCCCTCAACAATATTCAATTTGTATTGCGGCGGTCAGGAAAAAATCGAATCTGGACCGGACTATCCAGTGAGCAACAATTTTAATTGGGATACGATGACATGCCTGTATGAAAGAAACGTGATAATTGCGTTTTGGAGAAGAAATCTCAGTACAAGAACTTTCAATGGTTGGTAATGGTTTAAGACATTATCAACACTTTTCTTACCTGAACACATACAACCTGGTTTACCACCTGTGTTTTCCACGAGTTCCATTAACATATTATGCAGGTGTCAAACATTCAGTCTGCCTCCTGAGCATAAATAGGTGAATAAGAAAGTACACGGCCATGTTTCATAGTGATTAATTTGTGTGTGCACGTGCCTGTGCTTGTGTATGCTAATGTGTACATATTGTTTCTTATTTCAGTCCCTATAGGTGGCAGAGTCCTTTACATTCTGGTCTTTTTAAAACTCAATTATAGGTCATTCTCAAAAAGGCCAAATTCATGCTATGAAAAAATATGAAAATACAAAGCATCATATTGAATTATCTCTTTATTGTTTTGAATGGTCAACACATTAAAAAATGCAGTCATGATAATTTGCACACAGGAAAGTAACAAAATATTTTTTAAATTAACTTTTTAAAGTATCCACTGAAAAAACCCCGTCAGTGGTGTAACAAGCATAAAAGTATTTTTTCAAACTTTGATGTGAGATTAGAATTTTTCCTTTTGTCACTATTTACAAACTATTTTTTTTTAAATATAAATTAAATCATTTCATTATTCTCACAAATTTTTATTGTAAATTTGGCAAAAATGTCTTGGTGTGAGAAGAATGAAATGGTAACATATGATATTTCTTCTGATATAACTTAACATGTGTGATGTATACATTGATATTAAAAGCTGCTTTCAGTTATCATAAAATATCAGTCTAACTGTTAAATTATTCTTTTTGAAATAATTAAATCTTAGCAAATACGCATGTTACACCACTGATATTGTTTGTTACCCCGCCTGTTACACCACTGAACTTTCTGCAACTTACTAGGGCAGTAAACCAAATCAACAGCCATATGATGCTTTGAATTACTTAATAATCATCATTGGAGGACGATTTTCAAAATGTGGCATTGAAAACAAATAATATCAACAGGTAAGAATAAAAATTTACAAATTCAAAGAATACTGTGACACCAACGACATGTTGTGTTACACTACTGACTTTTCTTTACCTTACTGCAAAGATAAATCCAAATTAATAGCCTTTAATTCATAATCAACAGATTTGAACAGCTCAATAGCAAATTCTGAACACTCAGATTTTAAAAGGTTTTCAAAAATAATATAACAAAACAAAACAATTAACATAATGTAGTAATATTGTTACACCAATGACATCTTTTATTACACCACTGATTTTTCTTGAATTAACTTCAACGATAAATTCAAATTAATTGCCTTTAATTGATCATTAAAAGAGTTGAACAGATCAATAGCAAATTCTGATCACTCAGGACTTTAAAAGGCTTTTCAAAAATAATATTAAAAGCAATAAAATGAACATATTGCAGTAACATCGTTTCACCAATGACATCTTTTTGTTACACCACTGATTTTTCTGAACTTTATATACTAATATACCAGAACAAATTACCTTCACAGACTTTACATGACTTAATGGCAATACAATATACTGGATAAATACAATGCAAAGCAGTTAAGTTCTGTGAACAAGTGTCTTAAATGAACATTTTGTCAGTGGTGTAGCAAAACTGTCAGTGATGTAACATTTTCCCATGTTATACCACTGACAGTTACACGACTGACCTATTTCCCACTTTTTAGGAACTTTATAACAATTAATGCTCCTAACCACTGACCAATATTGATAAATGTTGATGTTTCATTAACTTGGATGTACTTTAAATGAACAATGTTATGAAAAAGTACATATGAATAAGTAATCAGCGTTACACAACTGACTCGATAAAAAGTTATGATACAAAGTAGACTCACCAATTGCAACAAACTTCAACATCAAAATAAAATTTGGCCTCCACTAAACTCCTGCCATGAGGAGGAAGGCATCAGCAAAGGGACCAGTTAGTATTCCATATTTTACTCAAGGGGGATAATTATTAATGTCACAAATTTATATTCGTCACACCACTGACTGTGACATTGTGGACAGTCATTCTTTTCATCATAAGTATGTGATTTTAATAAAAAATCAATATTTCATGCAGGAATGCATTTTAATATTGGTATTTCATTATAAATCTTTAAAAATATATATATAAATGGCCTGGAATTTAAACTTTATGGTACTGCAAAGTAATGTCGCTGTCCACTGACAGGGATGTTTCTTTCAAAATGATGATAAAACCCAAATTTTTCCCAAAAAAATAACAAACAGGTACACCATTTTACATCATTATGAGGGACAGAATACATTTTTCTTTGATAATACGATTTTTGAAAAAAAAAATGAAATAATATTTTCAGAGAAATGTGCTACTGACCAAAAACTTTGAGAATTAACCTTATACGTTTTCTTGTTTACATCCCAATGTAATTGCAAATACATACAAATACATTATCAACACTTTTCTTACCTGAACACATACAACCTGGTACCACCTGTGTTTTCCACGAGGTTCATTAACATATTATTCAGGTGTCACATCCAGTCTGCCTGATGACAAACTGCCTTTCGGAG